GCCAAAATGAGTTTCCTCTGTGGAGTGGCTGTGCTCAGCCTTAGAGATAGGGTAAGGAGCTTGGACATCCGGAGGGAGCTCGGAGTAGAGTTGCTGCTCCTTTGTGTTGAAAGGTGTCAGTTGAGGTGGTTCAGGCATTTGATCAGGATTGCTTGGCCTGCTGCCCCTGTGACCCAGCCCTGGATGAGTAGAGATGGATGGATGGATGGATGGATGGATACAGTATATAGTGAGATAAAGGTGGTGTTTTTGAATAATCATCTGACCTGTCAATTAGCAGGAGTCTGATGAGATCAGTGTGGGAAGGTTGTACTATGTACTAAAAGTCGTGCTGGAGTTTTGAGCTCTTTACAAATCTCCATCCAGTGAGCACAGAAAAAAAAACTACAGATCCCATGAAGTAACTACAGCCAAGGGAGTTTGGGAACTTACTCCTTGTAACTTCGTTACATCCTATCAATAACATTAATTAACACTCTCTTCCAAAGTCATTTTTCTCAACTTTTTGTAATAATATCTGCTGTCTAAAAATGTCTGCAATCTACAGGACTCTGTCCTGCTGTTATTGTAAGGCAGATTTAGTCTATATACATTTCAGCAACAGAGCAAAGTGCTTCACATAAAACATCAAAAGCATTGAGACAAAGTGCAAAAGAGAGACATTATAAACAAGCATTTAATACAATTAAAAACAGTCAGTAAAGAACCAGAATAGTAAAATAAAAACAAGCTCAACAGAAAAAGACAGGTATAAAATGCAAGAATAAAAGTTACAGTGCAGAGTAAGAAATGACCACATATTTGATTTACTTAAATACAGCGACATATAAAAAAATCTTCAGCCATGATTTAAAAGAACTGAAACTTGTAACAGATCTGCAGTTTCTGGGATTTGAGATATATGGTGTATGAAAACTGAACGCTGTTTCTCCATGTTTAGTTTTGACTCTGGGTAACAGAAATCAGACCTGTTCCAGATGACCTGTAGACATGTCAGAGCAAGCTGAGACCCCTCAGTGTTTAGCCTGCAAGCGTCTAGTACGGTGTTGATTAAAGGCCACCACAAACCTTAGAACTGATGACCAATATTGGTTTTAAAAAAAACAAACTAAAAACGAGCAACACAACACACTTCATAAGAAAGTACTTTTCATCTCCTGCCAGAGGCTCCAAGACAAACACTCCTAAGCTGCACTTTTACTTCATGCCACATTATATATAATACTTTGGATGTCCTTGTGTACATATAAACCCATATGGGATGCTTCCTGTTGTGCTGTAGAGTAGAGGCTCTCTCTGTCAGGCTGTGACAGAGGTTCCACAGCAGCACTGGTGTAGGAGCCATATCTAAGTTTATGTGTAATCATATAATTTACTGATTTTTGTGTATTTGTCTTTGCAATATGTACACCCTCCAAAGGTGGTGAGGGCGCTGAAGTAAAGATAATATTTAATGCAGCGTATGAGTGTACAGATTAACAGAAGTCTTTGGTGCTTGGACACCAGAGGGAGATATTTTGTGTTCGAGGGACATCTGAGTGACAGCTGGATAAATCCCCCCCATGGAGTCCAGACACTGGTGGCGGTGGTGGCTGCTGACTCTGAGATCTGCTGCACAACTTGTTATACAGTATCATTCACATCATGCATCGTATGTGCCATTTTGTTAACTTGGAGTATAGCCATCTCCTCTTTTCCTTCATTGTAATACAGTTACTTTAACACATCAAGCATGGGTGTGTCAGTGTGAGGAGGACCTGAGACCTGAGTGTGAAAATCTCCTTTACTTTATATTTTGTTCAGTATAATGAATCTGTATCCATCTTGCCCTGTATGTGGTGTGCATCTGCATTGTGAGAAGCTGAATTATGATAAATTCAGACTAATACAGGCCAAGTCCGATGCCAAATTTTCCTAAAGCAGCAACCAGTAATGTTGAGATATGTCCAGCTTCCTCACTTCTCTGTTGTTTGCTCCTCTCATATTTCTCCTGCTTTTCCTGTTTTCAGGTTTAGTGCCCCCCTCTCTCTCCGAGTTCATTTACTCGTTGCCTTTTTGCTGACTCTGTTTCCATGGTAGCTGTCACCGCTTGCTCCTCAGGTTTTCCTCTCCCTCCTTCTCCGTCCTTCTTTAATTTCTCTCAATTCATAGTTAAATCAGTTGGCATGGCAACAGATTAGTCAGTTTGGCCTTGACGTTCAAACAAACCCCCGCCTGTCTTCGATATTTCAACCTTTCTTTCATGACCATTTCTAGCAGTGTGTGTGTGTGTGTGTGTGTGTGTGTGTGTGTGATCACGAGATAGAGTCTGGATTAGAGAGGTGTTGATGAGCTGAATCATATGTCACTGATGTTTACCGCCCAGCTCCTGCTTAATCCAATGCAGGAAGACAGCTGGGCTTATTTTTAACACACACACACACACACAGGCGTTCATATTCAGATTCATCGTGCACACTGACGCATCAGTGATGTCAGAGAAACTCATCATTAAGTCAACACCTCTGAGTAAAGTGCATCGACACAAACACGCTGCGTCCTCAGCTCTGTTGTCAGGCCACGTCACATCAGCAGGAATGACTGTTTCACTGCAGCATTTCAATAGAGCCGTAAACTGAAATCAGCCTGCGTGAATACAACAACAATTCAAACAGTATCAAGGAGTCCATTGCAGCCTGAACTGTATTACTCACACACAGTTAATGTCCCCTGTCAGCATCCATAGGCCAAATGAGATGAATAATTTTGGTGTTGAATAAAAGTATGATTGCCCTCACATTTTCAGTGTTGAAGCTAGGTTGGGTATTTTTTATTCTTTTATTTTAGATGTCAATATTATGGGTGATATCTGTAGGTGCTCTATCCTTTGGAAATATGGGAACGCCATCATGTGGATCAAGTGTTGCACTGCAGCGTAACAAGCTACAGTTGCAGTTGTCCCAGTTACATACAAAATAACCGTGTTTTATGTATTTGATACATTCACACTGCGAATGTGAACTCTGTTGTCCCAGAAACCCAAAATAAGTCAAGCTATGTCAGCAATTGAGAAAAAAACACAAACATTACTACTAATTATTTCTTGAGAAAATACATTTTTGCCTGATATTTGTGACGATTCATCAATTGAAATAGCTAAATAGTGTTGTTTTGTGCATACTGTAAATTGCAGAAATGGCAAATTATCAATATTAGTACCAAGTGTATAAAGTACATCATACTATAGTATTAGCATAGTATGACTAAGGGTACATAACAGCCAAAACCAGAATCAGAGGAATCAGAATCAAGTAGATTATCACATGCAAGGAATTTGCCTTGTTGTTTTGGTGCATAGACAAGAAACTATTATATATAGTTATACTATAACTATTAAAAGATACTGTTTAAAGGGACATTGTGTAACATTTTCAGTTGTTTACTGGCAAAAATTGATGTCTGCATTCATAAATATGTCATCACTGGTGTACTATTACCTCCACCAATAATCTGACTTATTCTCGTAAAAGGAGAATTTCGGATTTGTTTGTACATTGTGCGGGTAAGTCGTCTGTGGGGTTCCATTACGTTTCGCCATCTTGAGAATACACCCGCCAGCAAGGGACATACAGCACCGCCTTCAGCGTTTTCGTTGAGAGCCAGGCCAGCACTGCGTGACTGAGGAGCCGAAGGAGAGGAGCAAGAGGTGCTTCGCTACTACCCTGGCAAATTTGAAACAAAGTCCCACTCTTTGAGCATAATGCAGGATCATGCATATGCAGCATCATGGGAGACGGAATCCTTGTCGCCAAGAAAGCGCAAAAGGGAATAGAAAAGGCAGCGTGACCGGCGAATTAAAAAAATGAAGGCCCACATCGGGGTAGCCTTTCCCAGGTAGAGAGAGCTGCTGAGGGAGAATGGTAATGCGATCACAGGCCAGCGCCTCTGTTAGCCAGTCGCTAACAGCCTCATCCCTCTCCTCGCATCACTGCGCAGCTGTTAGCTGTTAGCCGCTGTTAGCCACTGTTAGCGCTGGCCTGTGATTGTATTACCTTTCTCCTTCAGCAGCTCTCTCCACCTGGGAAAGGCAACCCCAATGCTGACCCTTGTTTTTTTAATTCGCCGGTCACGCTGCCTTTTTGATTCCCTTTTGCACTTTCTTGGCGACGAGGAGTCCGTCTCCCATGATGTTGCATAATACATGATCCTGCATTATGCTCAAAGAGTGGGACTTTGTTATGCGGCAGTAGTGCCGCTGGCCACTAACAGCTGTTAGCGGCGCAGTAATGCGAGGAGAGGGATGAGGTGTGTGAGGTTGAGCCACTTGTCAGTTGTCAAAGGACAAGACGTGATTGGTTTGTTTCAATTTACATCCGCCCCAACAGTCCTACATTGTAAACACAGCCAGCATGGTGAGGAGGGGGTTTGTCAACTCGCGTTGCGTGTGTCTGTGTAGGAGCCTGAATGAATACTCCATGTAGTATTGGATGACATGGTTTCATCAGTGTTATCATAGCTTTTTGGTACACAGCGGCTACAGTTGTTGCAATACATGTTTGAAACAGTGAGGCGCTAGAGTGCGCCATCTGTTTGAATACAATATATGATTTCAACGTTAGATGGGAGAAATTCCTACACACTGTGGCTTTAAAAATATTTACTATGTAACTGTTTCAAATGAAATAACTAGGCAGGAATGTACAAAAATTCTCACAATTTTCTTATGTAAACATTTTGCAAAGAAAAAATCATTTATTCTTCTTAGTATGAGAAGACACCTTTTACTTTAATTTTAATAGTTACAAATATGACATAATTCAGTGTATCCAGTCAGTGTGAGAAAAGACTGAATAGACTGTTGAAGAAAATATTAGTAGTAAAATGTAAGCTCTCCAGTCTGATTTGTGTGGTGAGCTGAATCTTTTTGATAGTAGGTCTATATTCCCAAGTCAAAGTTATCTTCAAACATATGGTATATAATGTAGAGTGAAACTGTGTCTTCTGTCTCTGTCCCTCACCAGGTGTTGTTGCTGTGAAGGACTCCGTCCCCCTGTCTCCTCTCAAACCTTCAGCTGCACCCGCAGACACAGAGCAACAAAGTAATGAAGGAGGGAACTCTGCTCTAGGCACCGACCTGCAGGCTCCCCGTGTTTCCATGGAAACCTCAAATCTCCGACCTCAGACACCCAAAGCTGAAGATGAAGTGGAGGAAGACGACGAGGCCAGCGGCCCACTCACCATTTCTGAGCTTGTCTACAGGTCTATAAAAGCGATAATCAACACTTTTATAATAGCCATGTTTTATTTTTTTCAGCTCATTGTTTGTAAATGTCCAGCTCACAACTGATTTGCTGCTCTCATAATAATTTTTTCGGCCGCAGCAGTCAGTGTAAACTGCTCAAAGTTAAAAACCTGCTGTACATTATGTGCTTGGCATCAAGCAGAAGGCAGACAAAGACAAAAGTCAGCAACCAGCTGGTGAACAGTCCAGAGCATTTAGCAGCTACAGAGCCAGGCATTTCCCACAGGAGTTGGTGGAGACCAAAAACAGAACTTAAAGTGAACAAGAGTGGACATTGGACTTACATTTGTCAGGTGGATAGAAACACAGCTCTAAATATATAGTAATGTTCCTATGTAACTGCTGTGAAAATAAGCCACTGTTTACTAACTTATAAAATCACTGTACAGTGTGTCAGTGTTGTGTTTGTTTGTGCTGACCCCCAAGAGGCCAGTTTAAGGTGACAAACTACTTTTAAAACATCTCTAAAATAATGTATCTACCTTTCTGGGCCCATTTGATGGGCGACTGAGGAAAAACTCTTCTACTCAACAGATAAACAGTTAATGTCACACTAGATATGTTTTATTTTTAAGTACAACACCATACATAATCCTACAATGTCCTTTGATTTTGTCTTGTGCTGCTGTGATACTTGAATTTCCCCCCTGGGGGATCAATAAAGTATATCTTATCTTATACAGAGACTAGAAATCAGAATACACAGGTTGAAAGTGGTCACACCACAGATGTGGCTTACGAGTCTTCATGTTTATGCCCAAGAAATAACAAATTAATAGTTAAATTGAGCATAGCGTTAGTTCAGACAGGACATGATGTCAAGCTCAGCTCACGTCCCAGCTACATCAGCTGATCTCAAACAGCCCAATCAACTGATGGAGCAGCTGATTGATGAAGGGAGTCAGCTGATAGATCACATGATTCTTTTCTACGCAACCAATTGGTTAATCTCATTCAGGGCACCCTATTTAAACTGCTCTAGTCTGCCTACTGTTGCTGCTTCCTCTGCAAGCCACTTTGCAACCTGCCTCCACCCCAGCTCCTCCTTTTCATTATGTGTCTGACTTATTATTGTCATTTCTGTTTGTCATTGATGCTGTTCTGTTCTGTTCCCGGGGGTCTTTGCTGCTGCTCTCCCTGCCTTAGGCTTTCCATGTAGGCACATGGAAGGGCAGGGAGGTTGCTCTCTCTGCCTCAGGCTTTCCTCGTTTGCACGTGGAAGGGCAGGGATGTGTGCTCTCTCTGCCTTAAGGCTTTCCATGTAGGCACGTGGAAGAGGCTTACTGCGTTGGCCTGAGGAAAACCAGAGAGGCCCCAGAACAGAGCCATACCACCAAATATAATACTGCAAATGGAAATAAAATTTCTTTGACTTAAGTGTTTCTGCCTGAACAGAGGTAGATAACAGCATCAGGTAAACCAACAGTTGCCTATAGGAGTGTAGAACACTGCTGCCTTGGTTCATTCCTACTTACTAGATAATAATATGCGTTTTGTTTAAATCTCTCCTCTCTAGCCCTTGTGCCAGCATGCTACCCACCCCAGTGGACGACAGCCAGGGAGGAGTCGACTTGCTCTTCTCGTCTCCGGTCCAGAGTCCTGCCAGGCTGCTTAGGGAGCTCCATGCTGACCCCGACATCCAGGCTCAGCTGGAGGCCGAGAGGGAGCGAGACCGGGCCTACGAACGCACCCGACTGGCTGCGAGAAGTCAAATGGGTGGAGTCCTGACCAGCAGCCTGCGCTTGTTGTCGTCCAATGAGAGAGTCAACGCATGTGTGCTGAGCGTGGCCCGCTTTGTCGCCGTGGTAATGGGCGTCTTGCTTGTCACTGTGCCCACACTGCTGCTACTGCTGGAGTCAGACATCGATGTGTCGTTCCTCCATGAGATCCGCCAGACGCCGGAGTTCGAGCAGTTTCACTATGAGTATTACTGCCCACTCCGGCGCTGGATCCTGTGTAGGATCAGCATGGCCATGGAGAACCTCTGGTCAGACTGAGGAGGAAAAGACGGAAGGGGGAAAAGAGAGTAAGGAGTTACTGCAAGGGAAAAGATGTGCCCAAATGTCTGTCTTAACATGTCTTTCAATCTTATATTCAGTCTCAACAACCGCTGAGACAAACATCTGCCAATGGGATGAAATCATTTCACTTATTTAAGAGCAAGCTCAGTTTATTTTATGAGCAGGTGGAATGGATTATTTATGAGAGCTCACAAACTTACACAACAGTTGTTAAAAAGAGGCCTGAGATGGATAAACTAAGAACGGTGGTCCTGATGCCTCATTTCTACACAGTTCTGTGTACGTACGTATGCAAATCAACCGAAGTCCATTCATTCCTTTGAAAACCTTCTTGATCTCCAGTGTGTTTGCAAAACTCCTCCTGTTTTTTTCTGGTCCAAGATTTGCCTCAAGTACCTGGAATAATTTGAACTTTTCGGGCAGATTTCGGACAGACCTTCTGCACTGTGCCACAGGAAGTTGGCAAAAAATGAATTAGTTCACCCAAATGGTTAGCTCGTTAACATTGGTAGCATGCTAGCTGTATTACATATAGAGCGCATGCATAGTGGATCATGTGACCACCCACCTGAGAGGCCAACTTTCTCACTTATTTATCCCCATCGTCTTATTGGTCCTGTTTTGTGTCTTTACTGCTCCATGTGCATATTCTCCTAAGATTGGACAGTGAAAAACAGTCATAATTAACATTTCTGCCAATTAACATTTCTGTGGTGGCGTATTTATCCATCCAAAATTAGATGCATTTCCTTTCGTTGAACACTAGACGCGTACTCTGCATAATATACGGACACAGAACAAAACTGTGGAAACGAGGCCTGAGAGTTAACACACTTCAAATTAAGAAAACACGTGCAAAAAGACACAACACAAGCAAATGGATATCTTCACTGACTTAACACACAAAGATGTCAATTTAATGACACATGCATGGCATTTAGAAAATGATTTACAAGAACCTCACAACACAGCGGAAACTGTTTCCAGTGGACACTAAAAAGTGATGCACACGGCTGGGACACGCTTGTTGTTGCCATGGTTATTGGCTTATGAGGTTATTGAAGTTGGTAATCTGTCACTGTGATTGCATGACGGATTGCATTTTACTGAAATTGTGCTCATGTGATTTCATGTGATGGATTGAATGATACAGATATTATAACCATAAGCAAAAGGCTAAAGTGAGGTTAACAGCAGATATCTGCAGTAATGCCTGAATTATCACAATGTTAAAATAACTTCATAAATGGCAACAACAAGCAGTATGTGTCTCAGTCATGTGCATCATGTTAGTGTCCCCTGGAAACAATTTTCCTTGTGTCGTGAGCTTCTTGTAGAGTGTTTTGTAAATGCTGTGCATGTCTTGTAAAGTTGGTGAAGGTGTTTGTTCACTTACTTGTAGCCTCATGAAGCATTTTCTTTATTTTCTGAGCCCACTAGATGGCACTCTTGGTTTAAAGAGAGAGGCTCAAAGAATAGCAGTTGAGTCTGCTTTCAACCATTTGTTGAATAATAAGCGCCATCTAGTGGGCTCAAAAAATAAAGAAAATGCTTCATGAGGCTTCATTTGGCCATCACTGCTTACTTGTGTGTTTTTCAGTACGTAGAGCTCTTAGGGCCACTGCATGTCAGGCCTCTCGTTACAACACTGAAACAAGTAGATTTGTTTCACCTCTTTGGCAGCATATTTTAGTGTCTTGAAGAAAAGAGAGAGATATCAGATAAATAAGATTTTCATCATAGATTCCAGTCACTTGTTAAGATAGACACTTCTGGCAGCGATGAATTGACAACAAGAAATACTATAAGTGTTCGAGGAAGAACCTGTGGGAAGGGAGAGATTCATGGAAGCAAAAAATTGAGGGAAGTCATGGACGGAGGAAAAGTCACATAAAGATCCAGAAAAGAAAAAAGTGATTGGTTTCGTTTGAAAGCAGTTTTTAAAGGTCTGTTCACTCCTGATGCTGACTCGCTGATGCAATGACTCTTCGGTATATATCGCAAACCATTCTGATTGGTTCTCGCCCTCAGAGCGGAGCACCTGATTGGTCACAGAACCTGTCAGTCATGACGGAGTGGGCGGGGACGGAAAGAGAAACTATTGATTTGTCGCTGAATGCAACAATAGCCACAGTCAGAGGTACATTATATATATTTCAAACAAAAGAGAAATATTCATAATTAATACCAATCTTAAATAAGTTGTTTTTAACGTTTTGTACATTTTTATGTGATCCAGATCTTTCAGGAATTTTTCAGTCAGAGGATCTACTTTGATCTTATTTTGAAATTAAGAGTTTACAAAAGACGACAAAAAAAGCAAATTTATTGAAGTTTATCGGGGTGATGGGTGTTGAGAAATTTAAACTATTTTTTGAGACTACCGTCAGCGTTTGCTGACTCGGTAGCACCCTGGGTTTTTTCCTACAGAGGCTATAGCACAAATCTTTTACGTAGAACACAGATTACAACTGTTTCAGATTACGTGATGTCATTTTGGAAACAGGAGGGCAGCAGAGGAGAGAAAATATAGTCTGTTTGTGATGATGTGTTTTGTTGAACTTCTAAATGTCTTCTGAACTTAATGTTAGCTCAGTAATTACGGCTACTAGTGCATCTTTCAGTGTGTTTAAAGAGAGTTTGATCATAAAACATATAAGGAAATGCTAAAGGAAAGAGAAGATTACTTGAAGGCTTATTGTGAAACGTTCCTGTGTTGTTAGGGTGGGTAAAACTGTGATTTTGGGATATGTGTTAGTTGATGGTTTGCTAGTTTTGGGAGAGCTCTATCTATGTTTATTCCAGAGGGACTTAAAGAGATAGGATGATACATGATGATAGGAAAGGTGTGTATACTCCAACTACACTACTGCTATGTGACACATGATGGGACAAGTGATGCGTTTAATTGTCTAAATCTCTCATACAGGTCTTTCTCTGGTCGTTATCTGGTGTAGAAGATCTGACTGAACAAACATGGTAGAAGGAGTACAGTTGCAGGTATTTAACTTAAGCATTTTAGTCACTAAATCAAATTAGAAATGATTTGTAGCCATTTCTAAAAAGAACTGTGATCACGTTGAGCATCCTGTGATTATCATTTAAACGACTGCAACTGTTCCTACATGACAGAACTTTCCCATTTTAATGTCTGTGACCAACAAGTTATCAGGAGTTATAGATGGGGAAGATGGTTAAAAGTAAAGGTTAAGAAATGTGATTTTTGGTTTGAGTAGATTTAAAGCTGTGTTTATGGACATTTATGCTGATATGGTTGTGGTTCCCAAAAACTCGAGCCATGGTGTCAAAGATTTTAAAAAACTAAGAGGGGATGAAAGAAACTGATTAAAAAATTGCTATGTGGTACAGAAAAGTAGGACAAGGAGTGAAATGTAGATTTCGACTTTACGTTAGGAGGAAAAGGGACAGTTCACCCAAAAATCAAAAATACATATACATTTTCACCACTTTTAGCTGTGGTGTTATGGGTCCATGTCATTGGTTCGACAGCCTATTGGTTCGACATCCCATTAGTCCGACTGTCTGCGGTGCTGAACGGCTCGCGGCGGGCGTATGGTGCGCCGCGACACCATGATCTTTTCCTGACCCTAACCAAGTGGTTTTTGTGCCTAAACCTAACCAGACCTTAACCACAGGGCATCATGATGATTTTGGAACGGACTTCAGAACAATGAGTTTAATATGGTCGGAACAATGGGATGTCGAACCAATGGGCTGTCGAACCAATGGGCAGTTCCTGGTGTTATTTATCAGTCTAGATTGTTTTGGTGTGAGTTGCAGAGTGTTGGAGATATCGGCATATACAGATGTCTGCCTTTTCTCCATTAAATTAGCACCCGGCTTGTGGTGCTCAAAGCGCTGATAAAATAAGCCGGAGAAGCTCAACAGCAATGTCTTTCCAGAAATCATGACCTGGTTACTCTAGATAATCCACAGACCTTGCTGTGAGCAGTTTCATGTAGGAACTATTTTCTTTCTATCGAACTCGACCGGCAAACCCGTGCAGAAGGAAGCCTGCATCTACTGCTAGCTCACTTAGCAGTTACCTACCTAAGCAAGCTCAAGTTACAGCTCAGCCAGGGAGGGCGCCATCTCACTGTCATGAGCGTGAGCCTCTCATCCATGAGAGAATGCACACTTCCTTCTGCGTGGTGATATGGTTGCCGGGCGTAGTTCAGTAGAAAGAAAATAGTTCCTACATGAAACTGCTCACAACAAGGTCTGTGGATTATCTTGAGCAACTGGGTCATGATTTTTCAAATGTATTTTTTAGCACTTTGAACACCAGAAGCCGAGTGCCACCTAGTTCCATTATATTTGAGAGAAAGCAGACAACTCTTCAGCTGATATCTCCACTCTGTCACTCACACCAAAACAATTTGGATTAGTAAATAGCACCACGGGTAAGAGGAAATATATGTGTTTTTAAAGTAGGGGTGAACTGTCTCTTTAATTTGTGTCAAAACGTGTTGGTTTTTGTGACACAGTATATCGTATTTGTGTACTTGGATTTGGCTAAAGATTAAATCAGTCTCCTGTAGCTCTGATGAGAAATGCATCAGTCACTTTTGGGAATTTACAGCCGTCACGGCGTGATTGTTAAGCATACAGACAGTGCCTGTCAGTTACAGTTTTGTGGCTCTGCGCGGAGAGAACAGAGCGCTACGGGGATGAGAAAATACTTCAGATCAAAGGAAAGCAGATGATTTTTTTTTTTTTTTTTAAGAAAAAGAAGCTATTTTCAAAGTGTAGTTCGATTTGGATCAACTTCTCAGGAAAGGGCATTAGCAGTTTATGTTCAAAACAACAAATATATGTCTAAAAAAAATACAGAAAAAGAGAAAAAAAACTGCATCTAATCACAGCATACACTATATACTTTATCCATAACATCCATACTGTACATGTCTTGCTATTATGAATATCCAAACACTATGTATTCAAACAAGGTCTGTAGCCAGACATAAATATGGCTGCAGACTGCTTGTGTTGTTGTAGAGTCATTTCACTCAACTACATATGCACCCGAAAATATTACCCACAAAGTCTTTACAGTTGAGAGTCAGTGATTCCAGTTTGGGCATGGTAGGTGAGCCTCCGTACTGCTTTATGGCAGAGAGGACAGTAGGGGTCAACCAATCTCACGCAGTATTTGGGCTCTTAATTTGAAAACTGAACTGATACTTTAAATTTTATTTTCAGAAGTCACTCTCCATACTTCTCGGCTGCTACAGAGGCCTCTGCAGTGCCCATCACCATCAAAGCCCTCTCATTATAACCGATCAAATGTTGCTGCCTCCTGTTATCAGCTGTGTTGTCGTGTAACTCTGTAGACTTTATGCATCAACGAGCTTTATGCATATAGAAAATATGCAGTTACAACAGAAACATGCTTATTTGGGACAAAGCATTTATTTTCCTACTTCAGCACATGCACTGAGTTTCGATGCTGAAACCAAGCGAAGGGCCAAACCACTATGACGAGGACGTTTGCGTTCAACATCACAGACTCTGAGCTTCTTTGTAATGGATGAAGCTGATCTGTATGCACTGCTAAATGATCACCATCATCCCATGATAACTAACAGAGGGGGATATCATCATGATAAACTACTGTCCTGTCTTCATGTTTAACTGTTGCTCCTCCGGTATGCACATGCATCAAAATGCTCCAGCGATTCACTGTAGATTTAAAACTGTATAGGCTCCATGTACACAGCTGTACAGACATAGTTTGTCTCTGGCTTTAGTCCTTTATTTCTGTGCTCCATCCTTCTCTAACTAACCCGGGGTATCTCTCTATCTGACCTCTCAATGCAAATTGCATGTCCTCATCTGTAAATACCGTGTTTATAGTTGTGGCAAAAAAAAAAAAAAAAAAAAAAGATTTCCTTTCTTTCTTCCCTCTGCGTGTCTTGTCCGTGTAAAGCGATCTAGATTTAGGCTTGGCTGTCTTGACCATCTTAGATGAATGCATGTTCTGTGTTCTTACCAAGAGGAGGAAGAGGAAACGGATTGAGACATTTGAGGCTTTTCTCTCAATCAAAATTAGGTTCATCTGAACAGTTTCGTGACCACGTTTAGAAGAATACTTCATCCACAAAATGACCACTTGTGTATCAGTTACTCACCTCATGTTAGGTTGAATTTGGGATGAAAACCTTGTTTTTCTGGCATGTCTCAACAATGAACGAAGAATCCAAAAACAGCAAATATTCTTGATGAATTTAAGTGATAGGGGGCTGCACTTAACAACACCAACACTATATCAAACTAGAGCCCATCTCGTGATGGGATCCCTCCAGCAGGAATACGGGGATCCACGATTTAAAATGAATGTGGGCCAGGGACATAAAGTACGGAGCCAATGGCCACTTCTATACTTCCTATCTCCCTACATCTGGCCCCCTTGCTCAAACCTCACCCATCTTTAAACTGCTTTCATTTTGATCTTAACTACACACCTGTAAATTTTTATGACTCTATCTTGCACAGTAGTGACATTATCATGGTGACAAAATCTGTCCACGGACAGACAGACATATAAACACCTGGGGTCTCATTTATGCACAAAACGAGGCCTACAAGAGCCGTACCCCATTCCCCCCGGAAAAGTTGTGATCTGTAAAAAACAAGAAATTTTGACTCACGCTTACAAACATTTTGGAGATGGGAAATTGGCAACGCAGATGGCGATGTGGAACCCTGATTGTAGAAACTGCCTAATATTTTTTTGCATTTGTTAGTATGTACATTTTTAGGAGGGATCCTGGTGCACTGTTTTATAAATGAGACCCCTGGTAAATATTCAAAACGGCTTCTTTGGTACCTGCCGTTACAACTGGTGTCACCTGGACCACATTTTGCCATGTTGACACACGCAGACTCACAAGGTGAAAACTGAATGTTGCAACAATGTCGTGGCTGATAAGCAACCCTATTAAAAACTCTCACACAACCAGTGTAGTGTAATCCAAGTCTCATTTATCCAGTGCTCAGTACTTCCAAAACACATGCATGTTGGCTAAAATCTTCCAGTTTAGAATACTAATGCTTAGGAGAGACTTGTCTGTACCTAAGGCTGTTTATGTGGAAGTGTTTGGGAAGCACTGAGAAAATGACTGGATGAATGAGACTTGAATTGTGCTGTTGTATATGAGTTTTGCTTTGAACGTGGCCTTCCTTTACTTCAATTCATCAAAAAAAGTTTTTGGATTTTTCATTCAAGTTGGAGGCATGGGAGAAAGAGAACATTTTCTACGTGAATTCAATGTAACAGTGGGTGAGTTATTTTATTTTGTGGGTGAAATATTCCTCATGCAGTGTGCTTTGAACTCCATTTCACTGATTTGACAGGACTGACTACATGTGGTTGCTAATTCTGTTAGCTTCCTTTTAGTCAATCTCAAAAAATATTTCAGCACAAAAGGGAGAACTTCTTGACAACTGTGTGCAAAAGATCATTTTACAGTCTCTTGAATAGCAGCTCTAAAATATTTGACTAGTTACCTTCATTGTGCTTTTGCCGTGTGTGTAAATCATTAAAGCCAGATGCTAAATGCTAACACCCTAACCTCATTACTAACAGAGCATGCTATTAACTGAATCGATTAAATTCAGAAACATTAACTGTTTAGATGTTCAGTTTTTAAGATGTTTTAAAAAATAAACACTGAACCGAGTGAATAGAAAGTAAAACTACACCTCAACTCATCGCAAACAACAAAAGGCCTTTCAGCTCTGTGATGACACAGATCTTCGGCCCCATGTGACACTGTAGCATTTTATTAGTTTGTAGCTCATTTATCAGTTTAGCCTTTTTGAGTTTAAAGGGGAATTTCACCCCTTTGAGATTTAGCTCTTGTTTTGAGCTGAACTTAAGTTCCTGTGTTTAACAGCATATAGATGGACCGACAGTACAACTTTTGTTGCGTACGTACGTAAAACTGTGATTTCAAACATCATCATGATCACACACCAGTTGATGTCATATCTGAGGTATTACTATTACTAAGTTCCTGACATGAGTCAAGTATTTACAAACCTTAAATTTAATTACCTACTTTTGATTATCAGTAAAAATAAAACAAAAATGCTTTACAGACAACACCTGGAATTTAAAGCTGTTTAAATCACAAATACTGCTTTTAATTAATTTATTTAAGATTTTAAATATTTGAACTCAGGTCTACTATATGCAAAACTATTGGACATCACATGGTATAAGAGAAAAATAAGCTGTAGTATATTATTTCAGTGTTGTGTGGGCATGTACAGTAGCAGATTCTCTTGCACGGTCACTTTGTTGTTTTTGATTGTTAGTCAGACAGATTTGTTGTTTTATTGGTTAGTCGGATTGTTTTTTTCTTTCATTTTTTTTCTTGTCATTCAGTCTCTTTTAATAAGAAACTCTGGGAGATTTAATTTAAGTAGAATCAGAAAAGAAGAAGAAAAAAAAATCCCCAAGTAATGACCCCCTCTCTTCTGGGACAACCAAGCCTTATGAACTTTGTGAAGTGAAAATTTTGAATGTTTGTATGTTATAAAAGAAAACATGGATTGTTTTATATGTTAATACTGCCACAATAAAGCTCCCTGATGAATATATATTGAAATATGCTGCCTAATGTGTGGATTATTGTATGATTTCATTATGCCTTAAATGTCTGAGGCATTCAAAAATATCTCAACCCCTAAACATGTAGTTCTTCTATTTCTCAGCAATCATCCTGTAAACATGACTGGGATTCAAGACAATTCCCCAAAGCTTTCATAGAGCTTTGTCTCCCTCATGTGGCATGAACGTGACATTGCACCTTGTGTTGGCGTCTCCTTGGTGATGTTTGTGTGATTTCTGGGATACAAGGAGTGTTCAAATCTTTACCATCGAGACTTGACTCTATTACATTAGAGTCTATTCTCTATTGGATGAGAAAATATCTTGTGCAGTCCAAAACTACTTCACCCAAAGATCTCAAGTCAGCTCTACTCAACAAGGAGGATTGTCCAGAAATCATCAGAAGAGAGGAAATCTCTGGGGTAAGAGTGACGTTTGAGTTTCCTAAGCTGGATCATGTTGTGGTGTAGCTGTTATTTTAAGGCAGTGGTTCTCAAACTTTTTACACTGCCTACCACCTCAGATTATATTAGGCTCACCAAGTACCACCACAATGACCAATATTCAATACAGTTTCACAGGCCTACCCTGTTCAGGTATGGACAGTTTACACAGGAGGCAGGTTTGTTCCACATCATCAGATTATTGTTCACTGTTGTAGGCCACAGCTAAAGTGGCACACTGGATCTGCCACTTAAACTCTCCACACAACTCTCATGTTCATGAACTAGACTACAGAGCAGGCTGATATAAGGGTTACAGTATTTTCATTTGAAATGTAGTATTTTGATAGCATTACATGTATAATTTTTTGTTTTAATTTTGCAGATTTCTGTTTGTATCACTAGAGAGAGCATGCATACCACCAGTTTTACACATACCACAGTTTGAGAATCAGTGCTTTATGGCTTCAGTAGATAAAATCATCTCTCAATCTTACAGACAATACAACACGTCCAATACCACCACTTTGTCAATGGACCTACATGTCTAAAATTGACGTGCTAGGTACCCTCCTGTGTCTGTTCAGGATGCGCAAGGACACCATGTTAACTTATGCTTGTTACATGTTACATGTCTTTTTCAAAATGAACTCATAATGCAAGTTAAGCACATCATTTTTAGGTTTATTTCCTTAGTTTCGGACAACAAAGGCATGTGGTTTGGTTTGGTAAAAACTTCTTAGTTTGGCCTAAAATTCACACAGGAAGCAAACAGCAAGTTCCCGGGTGAAAGTGAGTGTATTTGACCCGTCCATCACCCCTCCCACCAGCCTTATACGGACTTCCTTGCTCTTTATATTATGGTAGTTGTGAGCAGTGTTACAAACTGAAGCCGCCCAGTGCGTGTCTTACCACCACAAAGAAGGGGCCTCTGTGAGTCCGTGTTTGATGCTGATGTCCACTGACAAGCGGTGGTATTTGACAAGTTTGGTTGTTGCCTGCTACCTCTTAAAATGACTCAACTGGTGCCTATCATATTGCTGCGAAAAGTGCTTCTCTGCATTTGTGTCTGACACTGACATCACTGGCAAAGGGGCGGTGTTTGATGAGTTGGGAGTGAGAGCAAAAAAGTCAATGGTTGTTTTCTTGCTTCTTCTGTTTCTACAGGACAGTGTCATCAGTGTAAGACATCATGTGTACAGTCTGTTGATCAATTTCCTGGAAGGACAAACAACATACTCGACAAAACAACAAATGCTCTCAAAGGTTAAGAGATGTCATGAGAAGAAAGAAATAACCTTCCTGCAACAAATCCCATGAATCTAAAAAACATGAGCCACAGGTGACTTTTCAAGTAATAATGGAGAAACATCCTGTCACAAGAGCAGGGCGTACCATGTCTGAACTGCTGGAGGACTCTGGGAATTGTAGGCAGCTCATCAACCTTCATCCTTTCAGTGACTCTCTCTTCAGTGAGCAGCAGAAGCTGAGGCATGTGTTGGACTGGGCTCACAGTTTCCTCAGCAGTGGGTCAGAGGTTCACCACGAGTTCTGCAGAGCTGACAGCTTGATACTAGCTGATGAAAAGCGGAGGGAAATACAGAAACAATCACCTGCATACAAGGATTCATCTGCAGCGAAATACCATCATCCTGTCTCCTGTGCTGCAGGTGGTAATGAGGTATTTGGACCTTCTCCAAATGATCCCTGCATCCCCTTAACCTTTGCCCCAGTGAGAATTAAGGAGTACAAAGAACCTCCTACAAATATAAAAAGTATAGAGCTACAGGATGCCACTGATAAACAAACTCCGAGCCAAAACAACTGCAGAGAAAGCAATCTGTCCATATCTAATCAAAGACAACACACCAACTCATCAGACAGAAACACAAATCAGTGGTTGATCAATGAATCCACATCATGCTGGAGCGATGTTGAGAGCATGGTGTTTGGCACAGCAAGTGACTTGAAACTGAGCAATAAGACAGCTGGAGCTCAGTCAGAAGGAGACATATCAAGACATGAGATGGAGCAGAGCAAAGTAAAGGTTGACAAGAAGGTGGGAACAAAGAAGAAAGTTGCAGAAGAGGAAATGGAGAATTCTAAGATGGGTAAAATGAAGTGGAAGGTACATGAAGAACAAGAATCTAGCTCAGTTTTTGCAAAGTATAACATGAGCATCAGTGAGCCAGAGAGGACACAAGAACTGACGGAGGAGACTCCAAACCTCAGCTTTAGCTGTCACTCGAAAATACCGCCAACTCTGACTGTATATGAGCAGTACCAGCTTTGTGTGGATCAACTGCATCTCATTAGAGTAAGGCAAAGTCAATATATTGAACCTGGATGTGTCATAAAGTCATCTGCAAAGGAAAGAAAGACATCAGAAGAAACTGCAGTACAAAATTCTGAGATTAAAAAACGTCTACAAAAAGCAGGGAGTAAACGCATTACAGCTGCAGAGATCACAAAGGAGAGGAGTTCCAGAGTCATCAATAAAAACCAGGACAGATCTCAGCACAATAGAAGTAGGGCAACACTTAAGAAACATGGACAGACCAAACATTGTGACAATCTGACTGTGAAGGAAACACCTGACGCCATTTGTGCTGAGAACGGACCAGTTTGTCAGAGAAACACTCTTAACAGCAACACACAGTTTGGCCTTGATAGCAACAGATGTGGTGAATTAATAAAAGGAACTGCAGGAGGCATCACTTCAGCTGATACTGTTATTGACACACCCGTGGAGCACCTGAGGACTGCACCTGGTGATAATGTTCCCGCTGAGGAGGGGAGCGCTGCACTTACTACTGACACAGGTATTAAAGAAGTAGTTCAGTGCTGGGAAGATGGTCTTTTCATAAAACTGGGCTGTGTATGCAGTGGAAAGACACAAATAGTTTTAAAATTGGTGCTACATGATGGGAGAAAATACAGAAAAGGGGTTGTGACATTGGCTTTTGCTCAAGAGGTCAAAAAGCTACAACAGCCAGAATGCACTACGTCACACCAGGCCAATAAATGGCCGCGCTGGTGCGTGACATAATGCGAGCTTGGTCATTTTCCCACAGGAAACTTAAAATAAATATATTAAAGTAATAGAATAAAAATAGTACGAGGGCTTTAGATTGTAATGGCACCCTTTGGAGATGTGGTGAAGGACAAAATACTTTGATAAGTAGTCAAATAAAATGTTTGAAAAAACCTTCGAAGTTCAATGAGTTTTACCTGTCAGCTGCTGGTTTCTGGTGTAACACCAGCTAGAACTACAAGCAGAACTTCTTTCTAATGTACACAACAATCTGAACGGTTCAAACGTCAGGGTGAGGTAGCCCTTCTGTGCAGAGTTGGCTGTGCATGTTCTCCCTGTGTCACTGTGGGTTTTCTCCGACATGCAGGCTAGGGTGATGTGAATCTACTCTAAATTGTCCGTAGGTGTGAATGTGAGCATGAATGGTTGTCCGTCTCTATGTGTCAGCCCTGTGATAGTCTGGCGACCTGTCCAGGGTGTACCCTGCTTCTTGTCCAATGTCAGCTGGGATAGGCTCCAGCCCCCCCGTGACCCCTAAAATTACTTGAGTGTGAGTGTGTACGAATATACATTGTGTGTTTTTCTCTCTGTGTGTCCTTGTATAATTTGCCTCTGTCTTTGTCTTTATTCAGGCTTGTTTTCAAAGACAAACAGGCATAAGCCAGACGTAGAGGGATGTCAGAGTGGAATCAGAGGTCAAAAGAAAAACACTGGGGGTCAGGGAGCCTCAATGAGACTCTGTGAAAAGTCAAGTGTCTCCCTGTCCTCTCCAACCAGTAAAGAACTACTGCAAAGGTACCAGACAAAGTGTTTGAACATCAGTTTGAATTTGTTACTGCACTTTCACACTGCACAATAAACCAGTAGTCAGCCTAATTCAGCTTGTTAAATAACTCCTCATCAAGATGCACCCATTCAGCAATTTGATTTTTGAGTTTTATTGCAAACATGGATCCACAATTTCAATTCTCTTTCACATTAGCTCCATGAATAGCCCCATTTCTTCTGAGTGTATTGTACTGTTGTGTCAGCTGAACCTCCCTCTGTGTCTCCTGCAGACCTCGGTCATCAGAAGTAATCAAACACAGAAAAAAACTCACACCAGAGGATAAAGGGAAACCTGCTTCAGCCTGTAGGCATACACACAAATATCTGCCACCTACAGAGACATACACACCTCTTAAAGATGACTCTGGACCAACATCACCAGCTTCAGGTGAGTTCAACATCAACATGACATGAAACACATGATGAAATGCTACAAAAAACTAATAAATAAAAAAGCACTGTTATCTACAAGTCATATGAACGGCTACATTTTAATAGGTTTAGACTTGTGGTGCCACATAACACAGATTTGCTTCTGTTCCTTTTGAGGAATCTTTGTCTGAAATTAATTTTAGAAAGAGAGTTTAGAAAGAGAGTTCTGTGTGTGTGTGTGTGTGTGTGTGTGTGTGCTCGTATTAATCATGATGTAGGGAAAAGATATGTTCTCACAGTCTCAGGGACACAAATCAAGTTCTCATAAGGTTAATTATTTATGTTAAGATTAAGACCCTATGATTCTGATCGTAACCGTTACATAATGTGACTGCAAGGTTCAAGACTAATTTGAAACAGTAGATGATATGTTGAGACATTTTTAATCCATGAAATGCAGACTTTTATAAATTTGGTAAAAAAAATTATCAGCACTAGCATTGACGTGTTTCATCACAGTATATTCATATCATTATGTTTACAGCTCATAAAATGCATTAAGCACAGCGCCTTTTTTTTAACTAAATGGATTGTGATTGTATCTGAAGTAAAGTCTTCCAGAAATTTAAGTTTAGTACGCAGCATCCAGTAATGTTTAACTTGTTTTCATTTTAACCAGAAAAATAAAAATAAATAAAAAGAATCATAACTTCTGTAGCCTAATAGTGCATTAATATATAAGTCTTTGTTTGCCTTTACAGGTGCACGTCGATGTGAAGAAACTGACAAACACAGTGTAAGAAATCTTTACTTCTGCACTTTGTCTATGATATTGTTAATCTACATGTAATATGATCACATTTATCAGATACTTGTAAGCCTGTGGCACGACAGTTTTTCAGAAGAATTTGTAATTAAAGCTGGGGTACATAGAACTCTGGAAAAGGCAAGTAAAAACTACAGAATTTGAAAATACATCCTCACCTCTCTCCCCTCTCTGTCCTAAGCCCCGCCAACCAGATGACCACGGGCATCCACAAGTGCTTTATACAGTAATTCAGTGTTTCCCATACACTGATTTATTTATTCTTATGTCATTGTAGAGTTCCCCTCAATTGTATTCGCTCAGCCCCCCTTGCCCTGCTCTGTCTCTCTCTCTGTTCGTCAGACCACAAATGAGACCAAAATTAGCTAGCTAACATTAGTCACGGCATCATCTCTCCACCTCACTCCCCGTCACTGTGGACTGCTTCCCAGGAGGAAAGCTGGCAGCAGCTCAGGAGACAGACCTTCAGTCAGCAGCAGTAGTGGCTTGAATTCAGCCAGAGCAACCACCCAGCACAGGGTGTCACAGCAGGTCTAACTTGTGTCACAGCAGCAACTGAAAGTTTGCTGATCCGGTGGGGAATCAGGGCTGTCTGTTCCCCCAGAGCTGTGGTTTGCACTGGCTGGATTTTCCTTACCGCGGCTGCTGGCAGGACAGACTGGAACTGGGGGGTCCTTCTCTGGAGCTGCTGCCAGCTTTCCCCCAGCGAGGTGGTCTGTAGCGGCAGGGAGTATGGCGGAGGACACACTGTGATTCGAGACTCTAACATTAGCTAATGTTAAATGTGAACATGAAGCTGCCTTTAGGAGAAAGCTAAACTAGTAGCAAATTTTTCTCGCCATCTTTGAAACACTTTGCTGATACTGCATCCTGGTCTCATTCCAAACTCATCGAAAACTGGAGTTCGGGCAGTGACGGCATATAGATGTTCAAAAAACAAGCTGTCCTTTAATGTCAGCATGATACACGGCCAGTTGCCGTTATAGTTGAACGCGCTCGGCGGCAGCGGTGGGGGGAAATGCAGCAGGACAAGAATGAAAGTTAAGGTGGCAAAAGTCCGAGTAGGGTGGGCAGGAGGGGTGTTGGATTGGTCCAACAATCCCAGTAAAGCGGTGTTTGCATCCCATAAGATTATAAAGCCGAACACTTTTCTTTTTTCCTAAACCCAACCATGGACGTTAGTTGTTTGAGGAAAAAAAAATGTCAATTTGCGTTGTTGTACTGATGGAAAATCCATGACCAAACATTGATATGTGACGAGGTCAGAGCGAGAATGTGTTGGATATTGACACGTGTTTTGTTTTGTTTCTGTCAGACTCTCTTTTCGATAAGTCCATCTTGCTTTGTGGTGTAGGCAGTTGTTGCCAAAGCTAAAATAACAACTTTTGCAGGATAACCCACCATTGAATCAGGCTTTTACTGAAGAGACATGCACGCATCTGTATTTGTATAACAGCCAATAGGAATGCCCTAAATCTGAAATGTCCCGATAGTCTCCTGTCAGGCACTAGATTTCCTAAAGCCTGAAAACGGAGCCAAGAGGAGGTGCAGAAGTCTAGTTCTCCCTCAGACCACTTAAATTACAACATGCTGAAAGGTTATTATGGGATTTTTAATGATGCCAAAAATTAAACTGTCTACCTGAGCATCAACAGAATGCTTTGACTTCTTATCAAATATTTGTTTTTTTGAGTTATAATATGTTGTCATTACTCCTCTCAGCCAGCAGGTGTCCCTGTCTGTGAGCGCTGGCTGTGTCTTCCTGATGAGGTGTGGCTGTCCATCCTGTCTCTGCTGCCTCACAGTGATCTCAGCAGAGTGCTGCAGGTCTGCAGCCGCCTGCACACACTGGCTACTGATCACACACTCTGTGAGTCAACCCGCTGCACTGTAAGCACTTTGGATAAAAGTAGCAGTATTTGGCTATTAGGTGGTGTTAGTTAGTAGCCTTCAGCTGTTTGGCTTTTAAACGTTCAGGTTAAACATTACAGTTAATGACACAGTGGGATGTCCTTAACTTTTCCAAGAAGTAAAAGTGTGTCACAGCACATGGTGTTTTCTCATGATGTAAGAACTTCCACTGGTGTACTGTACCACTCCCTGGACAAACATACAGTAAGATAACCAGACCTGCACCATCACATGCCCTCTTACCTTACACACACTGTAGGTCAGAGCCAAAGTTTTGAATCACCAAAACAGGTTCACGCACTGAATGGCAAATCTCTCTGTCTCTGAAGGGAGAAATCTGAGGATTGAAAACGCCACCCTGACGGAGCGGTGGTTGCTTTGTGTGGGCAGACGTCGTCTTCACTGTCTGAGTCTGTACAGCTGCAGTGGCCTGTCTCTCACCTCGTGTGGGCTGGAGATGTTTTTCACTCTGTGTAGAAACTCTCTGGAGGTAAAACAGTGAATCTGAGCTCACCCAGTCCAGACAAGAGACTGCTTTATTGTGTGGTGGTTACTCTATTGATGGCTAAGAGCTGAAGAAACACTGTGAAGCTTCTGGATGTTTGCCATCATATGACTTTACAGCATGGCCCTCAAATTGTAGGACTAGATCCCCCTTATCAACAAGCCACTGTGCTGTCTGTGTGTTATAAATAAGCAAATAACTTAATACATATGAACTTCAAGTGGATCTTCTTTCATTTCCTGTTAAGATGAATTTTCTATTTTTATATCAGCATTATGAATTTATTGACCCCACATCCTGAAACCATCTGCCTGCTGTCAATGTCAACAAAACATATAAAAGTACATAATCTGTTACTGAAGTGAACAGTAAGTCAACATGACTACACCCTTTTATTCTGTGAATGATAATAATATTACCTATAATTCACAATAGATTACATTTTAAAGACAACAAGTTGATTAAAATTACCCAACATACACTACACTACGTTCTTTAAATATATTTGCATTTTGCTCTACTGTGATTCCACTGTTGAATTTTACTTTGTTTCTGTGTTACCTAGGTGAAATGTCCACATTATATCCTGTCATGTGTTAATTACAGGAACTCAAGGTCACAAGTTGCACTGGTCCTGGTCTCCATGGTGACCAGATGCTGCCTCTGATTGGCCAGCTGTGTCATCATATGACCAGTGTGGACGTGAGCTGGAGTGGAGCAACGGACACAGGAGTGAAAGCTCTGAGTGACTGCTGCCCAGGGTCAGACCCACACACACACACACACACACACACACACACACACACACTGAAAGAGTGCAACTGACCTTATGTGATGTCGACTCAGTATGTATGGTCAGGTCATGTTGTTGTTGTCCAGTGAAAACCATGCATCTCCACATTTGTTGATTTATCGGTTGTCAGACTGACTAAAGACTTAAATCCTCTTTTGTCAGATGATTCCAACACTGTACGTCTTAGTCTAAACCAGGGGTCAGCAACCTTTCCTATCAAAAGAGCCATTTTTGGCCAAAAAAGTTTTCAAATAATCAGCCTGGAGCCTCAGAACATATTTAAGCCTTATTATGAAGGTACCAGTGAGTCTAAATTCATCCCTCAATATTACTTACAGATCTAAATGAGCATTTATTGATATGTTTACCACAGGGTGGCTACTCCGCAGTGGGCTATTCATGATTGTATAGGAAACAGCAATACACTGTATGACGCACGTGTAGTTGATAAAATGTACAAACATTTTTTTATTCTGTCACACATCACACATTTTTACAGTTGAGAATCTAACAGTCACTCAAGGCCTTTGACAATAAAAAATAATAATTTCTATATGATTTGTTGCCAAAGCCGCAGGGAGACACTGGAGAGAGGTAAAAGAGCTGCATGTGGCTCCGGAGCAACCTGTGGCTTGTGGTTACCAACCCCTGGTCCAGACAAACCCTGCAAAAATTCACTGAATTATTTAAAACAGTGATTCCCAATTAGAGGTACTCGTACTCTATAGGTACTTAGTTATGTGTGAGGGGGGTACAAAGAAAAAAATGTGGTGTTGCTCAACAAATTAAAAAAAAAAATGAAGAAATTAAATAACAATTTGGTTAGAAAATGAAAAAAAAATGTTGCAATTTAGAGTGTGTGAAAAGCAGTTAAAGCCTAAACAGTCACCTAATGCTTAACAAGTAGTCAAAAAATGAATATACAGTTCAAATAGTTAGCTTAATGTAATGGATAAATGCCTGAAAGAGTTAATTAAAAATAATGAATATGTAGTTGAAATTGTTTGTTAAAAGTTATGGCTGAATGGTTGAATTAGCTAAATGTACTGCTTCTGCCACTAAATGTACAAGGGCAAACTAACCTAAACATTGACAGTATAACTGTCTACAACTACAACAAATATTGTAAAATGAGTGAAAAATATTGCGTACAGTGTTAATATCCTGTTAATGATAAATTCAAATGAACACATCTGAAACCTGCTGTGTGTTTGATGAAGGGGACCTTGAGTTCATCTGAAAGGGATGAATAAGCAATAATTTGGTTAAGTTTCCTATTTTTTATAAATCAGTGTCTGTCATTAAAAGCTTGAAAGCTGCATTAAAATCCACCATATATTAAAAAGCGTTCCTGGCTGACAGGATGTAGCTTAAACACCCTCATGCTGCATTTGTTGGAAACATCAGAAAGGTTTTTCTGAGGCATATGCTGCATGTCATAACCTCTTAATTTACCATGTCACTGGTAAACTTTAGTGCACATTTATGCAATAACACTTTATAACAAGTATGTAAAGTTGTAAAGTAAAAATCCTTAATTTATCTTCCCTGTAGGATGCGACTAAAATCTGTTGTCCTAAATGGCTGTCAGGTCACTGATGACCCACTGATGAAGCTCGTCATGAGACACAAAGAAAGGTCAGTATAAATATGTCTGTATTTAATTATGTACTGTAAAGATATGAGGTCACTATAACTCAGTATGTACATGTCAAGACACACCAGACAAAGCTTTCGCATGTGTATGTGTATGTGTGTGTGTGTGTGTGTGTGTGTGTGTGTGTTATCCTGTCTTTCACTTTGAAACATTTTTTTATTCATAAGTATATTTATGCATGTGGGTGCCTGTGTGACCATTGTCCCTTTAACACCAAGTTGTTTGATGTGATTGATATGATTTAATCATGTTACATTTACATTTGGTGGCAGGTGAATTTTTGTTTAGCCAGGTTGAAATGTAATTCATATCTCATATTATCTTTGAAATATAAAATTGCCCCCTAATGACTTCCTTAGGTGAGGATGTCAGTGTACAGCAGAAGATGGTTTTGGTTGTGTGGCTTGTGTCGTGTTTTGGTTCTCCTCCAGAAGTTGTTTTAGTCAATAATCTATCCAGATATAATCAGGATGTGCACATGTGTCTGTTTGTTTCTGTTTGTGTGTTTTCATATTAGTCTGTGCAGACTGGAGGTGTTTGGCTGTCAGTTCCTCTCTCCATCTTGTCTGCAGACAGTATATGAGGTACTTTATTTTTGAAAAATAAACACAATTTATTATGTTTTAAGCCCACACGGATACGGAGTGTATTTTTGTAAACAGGGTTTTCCATCCTTTGTTTTATAAAACAAATTCCTGTCCACACATAAACTGTTGAAAAAACTCTATCCAAATGAGAACGTAAAAACACAATTGAAGTGCTGTTAAGAACATGTACAGTACTTATGCACAGTTTTTCACTTTCTGTATTTCAGATGTGTCCCGACCTCCAGCATCTAAACATCGGACAGGTGCCAAAAGTTAACGCACACAGTCTCACAGTGATGATATCACGGCTCAAATGTCTCATTGTGCTAAATCTCACTGGACTACAGGCAGTGAGTTCCAGCTTTGTATGATTATTAAGCTCTATCTGATTTTCTTGATTTAAATCTGCTCCCTGTATTTTAATTTTACTGAAACAGGTTACCGATGCCATAGTGGACACTTTGCTTCAGAACTGTGTTGAAATTCAGAGTTTGACTTTGAGTTGCTGTCCAGGAGTCACTGACCTCACACTGCACAGCATCAGCAAATACACACCTTGTATCAGGTACACAAACACACACACACAAACTTTAACCACAACACTTGTGAAGTATTGACTAATATTAATTCCATTGAAACGTACCTTAACTTTAACATAGTGTTGTTTAAGCATATCCCTGAGAAACACAAACAGAAATATCATTTGTGCCAACAGAAGCAGTGTGTACTGCAGGTGTTCAGTTAGACTCATGTACATGTATGTCCGGTTTGTTAGTTAGCAGCAGGGACATCGTAGCGAGAGGGAAAGTGGGACTGATTATCCAGGGCCCCAATGGGAGGTGAAAAAGCCTGCACTGAAAAGTTTGGTTTTGTTTGCAATTTATTTTATTTCTAAATAATTTGTGCCATAAATAAATAAAAAATGGCTGAATAAACTGACCAGCCAAGAGGCCCCTCTCCTCCCTTAAAGGTGAAAAATGGTTTGGTCTGCCCCAGCAATAGAATTCCTATACAAAATCTCAGCTAGAGGAGCCTGGTCTCACTCTGAAGTTGTTGAAACCCAGCATTTGGGCAGTGACTTGTGGTGTCAGACACTGACGGAAAAATGATACACAGCCGGTTGACATTATAGTTTAACGGCACTTGGCAGCATCGGGGGAAAAGCAGCGGGACAAGAATGAAAGTCAAGGCGGTAAAAGTCCGAGTAAGGCAGGTGGAAAGGGTGGTGGATGGGTCAACAAACACCAATTTTCGCTGTACTGTCGTAGTGCATTTATTTTGAAAGAAGACAATGCATGTAACAGGCATAACTTGACACAGTGTCCCAGAACAACAACCAAGGCACCCAGGGTACCTTACGTGTCATATCTGGACGTAGTGAGTCCATGACCAAACGTCAATATGTCACGAGGTCGGAGTGAGAATGTGTTGGCTGGAGCCACCTTGGTGAGTGCTTATGCTGCTCATATCTTTATCCAAGAACAGCAAATTGATGTTCCAAAAAAAAAAAAAAATTAAGGACACGGAAAAGTAGGAAAGCACTTTTTAAAAAAAAAAAAAAAAAAAAAGGTGTGTGAGTGAGACATGGATCAAGAGAGGAAAGGTGGGGAGCCCACAAACACTGCTCATGCATAGGGTCCTGAATTTGGTACTATGGCCCTGGTTGCAGCTAGTGTATATCCGTGTGTTTGTGTGCCAGATCTCTGGATGTGAGTGGCTGTAAGGCGGTAACAGATGCAGGAGTTCAGTCTCTGGCTCTGGGATGCAGAAGACTTCAGCAGCTCAATCTCAGCTCCACTGGCACAGGAAACAGAGGGTACAACACATGACACACAACAAACTGAGCTCTGAGTGTTTCTCTGTATTTCTCACTGTGGATTTTTTTGCCCGCTTAATCAGTGTGCAGCTATGTCGCCAAATCACCAGATCAGCAATGAATCTGATGGTTAAAATGTTTAAATGTGTGTGTGTGTGACACAGGGTTACTCTACTGGCAAATTACTGCAGCGGGCACCTCCATACTGTCAAACTCAGTTTCTGCCACATCACCTCAGAGAGTATACTGAAGCTCTGCAGACGCTGCAAGAGGTAAACACATATCACATGCATAATGATATTTCCAGAGAGGTTGAATAGATAGCCAAACACATATATGACTGTGTCTGCCTTTTACTTACAATATATTCTTACCAAACATGCAAACAGGCCCTTCCTCCTTGTTGTGATGAGCCAAGTATAAAATCTATCTCAGGGACAATCAAAATAAAGCCTGTCAACCATGAACACAATGACCAACTGTTTAGTGGAATTTCTTGGGAAACAGAAACAGATCAGCTGCTCATGGTGTAATTATGGGAGTGATACGCCAGAATAACCAACACCAAGCATCTAACTGTGTGAAAACTTCGCTCTGTAGCTAGAACAACTCAGAAAGCACTCTGACAAATGAGCACACAGTTACACTTATTCCCATGTTTCTCTCTCTCTCTTTAGGTTGAAGGTGCTCCATCTCTACGGCTGTGCTCATCTCCCTGCTGAGAGAGAGATCAGAGAAGTTAACACTACTGTTAAAGTTTACCCTGTGACGTGACTCACACGCAAACATCTGCACACAAATGGACAGATATGCACAATGTATCAAAGACCAAAACTTGAATGAGTATTGGGAGATAATCCTAAAAAGAATCCAAATAAAATCGTATCATTTTTACTTGTTTATTCCCAATTGGGTTTAAAATAAGGCTGACTGGGTCTCAAGGAGGATTGTGACTTATGTTTAGAGATGAATAAAATGCATTTAAATTTATCTGTATGTGTTTGACTGTGTGTCTGGAGATGGACTTTAGGTGTGCTTTGACCCCCCTATCCTAAGGCTCTATTATCTAGTGTTAATCCCCAAATAATCCAGCTGTGTAAGAATCTTTGAAATGGTTACTTGAGCTCAAAGTTTTGATGACTTAGTGTCAATTTAGGGAGCCAGCATATGACTGGGGGACATGCATAAAAAGTGCAGTTGCGAGTTGTCCACTGAAATCACTAACTTTGGATGCTTTCACACCTGTCCTGTTTGGTTCTATCAAACTCAAATTTGTTTGCTCCCTAAGTGTGGTTCGTTTGGGCAGGTGTGAACACAGCAATAGCACTCGGGTGCGCACCAAAGCAACAGGACTGAGACCTTCTTGAAGAGGAGGTCTCAGTCTGGTTACAAATGAACTCTGGTTCGGGTCGTTTGTGGTGAGAACATGTTCCGACCTCGATCTGAACCACCTGCAGTCACATGACACATTGTTTGGGTTAAACATGAGCATGTTACAGTCCTGGAGGATTATTAATGTGCACCTCCTCCTGTACTGCCTTAATATGCACATTCAGCACATCCAATGCATCAAAACATTGTTTTCTAGTTGGAGCCGCGCCTCGTTTTCAAACTGTATGGTTTGACTAAAATGAAAAATGCAAGCAATATAGTCCACGATGACCAGCGCTATTTTAGATTTTAGATAGCATGCCCGCATCATGTAAGCAAAGGATGCTACGTGTAACACAAGAGTGACAGCCTCTAGTGTTACATATATGACATACCCGTCGACAGCACTTGGCAATAACAATCACGTACTCACTCTGTTATATAACGTTTGATCTCGTCATCTGTTCAGAGGATAAGGAGCTCCTGGACCTCATTATTATCTCAATCTGGGTCATTTTCATTCACTGTTTTTCTATTTCAAGTTAGCTGCTAACTGCTATCTACTATTACTATTTTTAAATCTTCCACATCAAAACTTCACACCCATGCCATCAATGATCCCATCCTGTCGGCTGTTCCTTTTATACAGAAGTCTTTTTAGCCCCGTTAGTACCTCTAATGCTGGCTTAAGGTGGCATAATGGTGTAAAGTTCCCGCCTTGTAGAGGCAGTGTGAAAGGGGCAAGTATCTTTCTGTATATACATCTTTAAGTATTGGGGGGAAATGATGAGCTCCTCTGCTAACATTTCAAGGTAGAAAAATTGCAGAGTGCACATATTGAACATACAAATGAGAGAGAGAAGAAGTGTATGTGGTATTTTTATATGATGATACTGAGGATTCACTTTTAAACTTATTTAGATGGAAAACAATTTTTTTCCTGCTGATCTTTGCCACACTGACTGTTATTTCCTTCTATCTGGCTCACCCTGAGGAATTCTTCCACTTTTGTGTTAGTCATGGCTTTAACAGCATTTTCAACACCATCTTTTAGGGTCCCGAGAAAAGTGGTTTTGTCAGGAGTATCCACGTGTCAGAAAAGAAAAAACAAAGGAGGAGGGAAGATATAAAAATGAGGTAGCTGAAGGACTGAGACCAAATTCTGCAGTCTTTCACTGATGGGATTTCTTTGAAACATGGATCAAATTGTTTTACTTGTTTCCGCCTAACAGCTGGCGCCCAACCATCTCTGATTCTCACCAAAGGAAATGCAATGTTAAATTTAACTATTTGACTTTGCTGTCCAATAGGCTCTGGAGGTTTTTATAGCACTATTTCTATTTTTCTGAAACCACATTAACAAATATATTTAAAGCGAAATGGCGTCAACAAGGGGTATGAGCGAGGAAGAACGGAAACGCCTGAGTGCACTCTTTCATGCCTACGATGTGGATAATTCAGGACTGATTGAAAAACATGAGTTCTTTACCATTTGTCAGGAGCTCCAGGTACCATCCAAAGAAGCAGACGGCATATTCGACCGCCTGGACGTCGACAAAGATGGCACGGTGACCTTAGAGGAGTTCATCAGCGGCTTCAGAGAGCGACATGAGGTGAAAGAAGATGACAAAGAACGAGAGGACGAAAAGTCCTCGGAAAGTGAGAAAGAATTTTCAAACAACAAGGAACAGGTCATATCCAGGTGAGATATGAACGTTACAGGTTTGTTTTTCAAAATTGAAATAAAGGAATATCCTGAACAAAGCAATGCATGATGCAAAAAAACCTGTCTCCTTGAAATTATATCTATATGTTACCAAGCTGCTTTCTTAAATATGTTGTAGTGGCAATGTAATCGCTGCCCAGTTTATGTTCAGGGACAATGTTTCTTTCAGGTAACGAAACACTACATTCATGTACCGCGAAGGCTTCAAAAGGAGGTAGTTGGGGAGGATGTTGGGAGTACATAGCCCAGGACCTTGGCATCAGAACTTCGGGCTGACATCCGGATTCTTGTCGTAGGTTTAGACACCAAAAGTGCTTTTGTTAAGGATTGGAAAAGATGGTGATTTTGGTTAATTGTTAATAAAAAAAAAAGGTAATAAAACAATATTGAACAGGAGCCCACGGCTCATTTTTGCTCTGCTGCCTCCTGGTGGGTTACTCGGGCCCTGCAGTTTGTCTTGATGTTATTTCCTTGTGTAATATGGACAGTAAGTATTAACAGACAGTTAAGATAAGTGGTAAGAACACCCACTGAAAACAAATATCTTTGAGCGAGTGGCGTGACATATTTAAAAGAGCAGTGTGTAAAATTAAGGGGGATTTAGGGGCATCTAGTGGTGAGGACTGCAAATTGCAACCAGCTGAAACTTCTCCCGGTTAGATTTCCTTCAGTACTGATCACTCAGGAGGTTTTTACCGCGAGCCAAATTATCCGCGGAGGTCTCCTTCACTCCAAAACAAACTGATCAAGTAATTAAAACAGCTAAAAACACAGAATAAAGCAGTTTCACATTAAAAGTCAGTGTTTCTCTGACACTGTTTGGCATGTTGCAGATGGGCCATTAGCCCAGCACCTGCTAATGTGTGCTCACCTTTTTTCTCTGATAACTTAAGATCCAGATGTTCAGGAGGTTTTTACCCTGAGCAGGTCTCCTTCTCTCCAAAACAAATGGACCTGGTGATTCATACCAGCAAACACTTAATTAAGGAGGTTTAAATTTAAAAAAAAAAAAAAAAAATCTGTGTTTTTACAACGCTATTGTCGTGGAGGGGCTTCTCACTATGGTGACCGATTAAAAAACGTAAATAGCCCTATCTAGAGTCAGTGTTTGGTTTGTCCGTCTGGACTACTGCAGAAACATGGTGGTGCAACATGGCAGTCTCTGTAGATGAGGACCCGCTTCATATGTAGATACGAAGATATGAACGTCTCATTCTGAGGTAAAGAACAGAAGATCTATTGTGAGGCATGAGTACAACATGTCAGAGGATGCTACATATTAAGACTTTCTGAGAAAGTACATCATTCATTTAAATAAAACTGTAAGTGGGAAAAGTTATGAGTTCAGTACATTATGTGTCAATCAGTGTATACATGCCTTTCATGTATAGAAATGTATAGTCTTGCGTGTTTTGGGAGACTGTGCAGGTTGAATAAGCTCTGGTTCTATCATTTCAAAAGTGTATTAAACTACATTACAGGCTATTAGCCTCTCTGCACAATGAAAGCACTTTCATTTGGCCTGAAGCCCGGACTTCCTCTATTGTTGAGGTGAGAGAGGAGTGAACACATACACACACACACACACACACACACTGCACACAGGTACTGATGGCTGGCGCGTTACCTGAGTCAGCCACAGCAGCTTTTCTGTCTGTCCAGCTGGCTACTGACTGCAAAACACCGGGAGATTATTTAGTGGAGACAACACAGGAGCAGAAGTTTGATTTACTGAGTGGTTTGATTACTTTAAAATGGATTACCTCGATCAGACTTTTTGTAAATGCGTAACAGCTGTTGAGATGTTTGGATAAGAGCGGACAGGTCTGGAAGTTTGGAGTTATACTTTTTTAGGCGTCCTGAGAATAAAACCCCGGCAGATCTGTAGGGTGTCTGGGTTTGCTCGTCTCGGTCACCTTTAATTTACTGAAACGCCTTCTTTTCTCCAGCCAGCCACATCACTCCATCAAAGGAATGAGCGTGGAGGAGCAGGATCGGCTGCGCTCCCTCTTTCACGCCTACGACGTGGACAACTCCGGGCGGATCGAGAGAAACGAGTTTCTCACCATCTGTGCGGAGCTGCAGGTGTCCGCGGCCGAGGCCGACCGGATATTTAACCGGCTGGACGTCGACAACGACGGAACCGTCACCCTGCTGGAGTTCATGAGCGGCTTCCACGACCGCTACGGGGAAGACATGGAGTCCGACGGAGGAGACGTGTCCGCCGCCTGGGAGAGCTTCGAGAGGAGGCTGGGCGAGCAGGCCAAGTTCATCCCCAGGTGAGAGCGCACACCTGTCCGCTGGTAGACAGGGAGGGAGGTGGTGCTGTACAGGTGTGAGGATGTCCTTAAAATATGGAAATACTTTAGGTGATATGGATGTGTTCAACAGTGAGCGCAGTGTGCGTAAAGGTGGTGGTGAAAGGTGATGATGGTGACAGGGAAATTCACAAATTATACATTAGAGGAAAAATCCATAGATTTAAAAGCAGATAATTGTGAGTCTTTTTCTTTTTATTGCGTCTATTTGTCATGTGTAGGACTACAGATGGAAATTAGTGTTTTGCTAAACAACCATGGTGCAACCATGTTTTCATTTCTTGTAAATGATTAATGTCATTGCACACTGTCCTCTTATAAATAATAATAATAAAAAAAAAAACTTAACTAAGCTAAACCCAAACAAGGAATAAAACAGTGTTGGATATTTTCCACCATTTTCTGACGTTAGACCAAATGGTTTATCAATAATGGAAAATAACTGTTTG